AAGATATCGCAGATATCCTACGTCGACCAATGCCGGACTCAGCTGCTATATCGGAAGGACGATCTACCTGTGATATCCCCTATGATGATCAGTGGACAGAAGATGGCTTCGAAGCACCTGATGCCATCATTCGCTGGGACGGCAGCAGAGCCATGGGCGGGGAGCCCAATCCTAAGAGACAACGTCTCAATCAAGAGCAATCGGGCGCATCGACGACAACGTACATGTCGTGGACGACGCCGACCATGAATGGCTCCAACTTTTCTGTGCCCACCACATTATCCCTGGGCTTCTCGACAGCCCGCGAATACATAGCGACCAGCGACTCAGCCCCAGAACAACCCCCAACCAAAGCCGAGACCAAATCGAACGCCATAGCTGCCAGCATCGTCGGTCGCAAAGCGGACGGACTATCGCAGAAAACGATCTCCGGATTCTTCGGGCAGCCTTCGTCGTCAGGCCCGAAGAGCGGTTCAGGCGCGGCTGGGCGCTACCAGCCTCAGGGCAACCGAAGAGACGCGGTAGGGCAAACGCGTCACAGTGGATCGTCGAACTCTGAGTTTAAAAGTGTGATCCCATCGAATCTCCGGACGTATCGCCCGCAAGGGCCAAAGTTGCAACCGCCTCGCCCGGTTCTCGAATCTTCCGACCCGAATCAATACACCTGGTTGGCAGCATCCTCGAAGCCGTCGGAGGGACAGAAGCCGTTCTCGCGCGCCACTCAGGGACCGAAGTCGACTGACGAAGGAAGAGGCGAAGCAGGGAAAGATTTGCGGACAAGCGAGATTAAGAGTCTTTCAGGAACCGTTGGGGGAGCCAGACCGGTGGCCACGTATCACACGACTACCATGTCGATGGTGCAGACCGGGCCAGCGACGACGATGCGACGGACGCTAGGGATTCGACGAAGCATGAATGGATGGGCGGATCGCATGAAGAGGGAGAACAATGGGCCATCCTCATAACCGTATGAAGAAGGGTGTGTGGCGTCAGGCGAAGACAGGGTATATACTGGCCAGCTATAGGCTGTGGGCGCATTACGAAGTCATGATCAAACCATCAAACTACATGGTAGTATAGCATCTTTACACTTAGCGAATACGGCCCCATCCCTTCTAGCAATCCTTCGTAGAACACCATACCTATGCCCTCTATGAGTATGGGAAGTATTCACACCGACCAAGCCCAACTCCAACTCCAACTCGAACTCAGCTCAGCTCAGCACAGCACAGCCCACTAACCCCCATCCGTACTAGCCAGCCACCTTACCACTCCAGCCAGTCCTCAATCTCAGCATCACTTCGACCGTCCATCCATCCATCCATCCTCAGTAAAGTAAAGTAAAGTAACTCACCCAGTATGACCTACCAGTGATGTATGTATGTATGTATGCACCTAACTACTATAATAACATGCAAACATTATTAAATGAATAAATAAACACCAACCATCCATTCAGGAACCTTCCATTACCCACGCAAGCAAGCCAGCCACAATAATCCAATCCCGCCTCACTTTTTTACCATCCTTCGCCTTCGTTCCTTTCCGTCATTGTCGTGATTATTATTATTATTATTATTCTTGTCTCGAACTTACGGGGGACTAACTAACCCAGATCCAGGTCTAGTTCTTTCTTTGCTTGCCTGCTGACCTGGCAGGTTTGGCACTAATCCAATTACAGTACTCTAGTACTGGGTTAGTATGAGTTGGTTGGTTACTAAGATATTACATAAGTAGTGATGCAGGCACAGCTGGCGATAGTTCATAGGAGGGTCACAAGGGGTCACGTCACGTCAGTTGGATTTGCTTTTGTACCTGACAGACAGACGGACGGGCTGGATGGGCACGGTCGGTTGAGTGGGATGGATGGGTGGATGGATGGATGTAGCGGTGTGCTTACTAAGGTAGGTATTAAGGTGTATTGTTGGGAGTTTATTAGTTAGTAGAACATGAATGAGTGAGTGATTTCTCTGTATCTTTCTTCGGATTATATGATTGTAGCGGTGAGTAAGTAGTAGTAAGTAGAGTTAGTTTTCTCTCTTCCATGCGCATGGTCTGATTTATTATTCCGTTACGGATACTATTAGTAGGTATGGGATGGGATGGGATGGATGTGATTACCCGAGGATAATAATAATAATAATAATGTGATGGGGGGTGGGGGATTAAATTATTTACTCCATATTGCCTTAGTATGTCTCAATAATCTAATCTACTTGATGGGAAAAAGGAGGGAGGTGAAGCGAGTTGACTTGAGTCGGTAAAGGATCCAAGTATGGTTCTACTGGATTTAGCTTGCTTACTCTGCTAAGGTAGGTGCTACTAGGTAGGTAGCTTACTGACTAGATCCGGAAGTAGATAGTTGCTGATAGTCTGGGGAATGATAATTACCCTGATAATAAGCTTGGAGCTATCTATCCATCTATCATTTACTGAAACGTTTGAGCTATTTTCCCATCGTCAGCATCAATCATCAAGACTATTATTGGGAGAATGAGCTGTTTATTTTTTTTTACTGCTTCGCTTCTTGCCTAATAATCGGGCTTCATCAAAGTATGGTTCTTATTGCGACTAGAGAAAAGCTAAGACCCGAGATAAGGGGGTGAGTGATGAGTGAGTAGTGTGGGTGGGTGCGTGGTTGATCCATCCCCCTTCTCCTGAGAGGCAGGTCTGTCTCGAGTACAATACACGGCATACAGTAGATACTGTAGTGATTAGTCGAGTCGGTGATGGGGATGGGTTGCGATGTTCAAATTACCTTACCTAGCTAAGGTAGGGTAAAACCGTACTTTGTCCGTGTGACAGGAATAGTAGTAAACCAGTTGGGTAGGACGGCGACGACTACGACGACGACTGCTATTTTGGACTTTTTTCGCGGGTCGTTCTAATAAACTGGAGCTTGCTTTGCTGCCAGCTAACACAGGAAGTTTCCGTAGATAGTAAGGAAGTCAATTAGGTGTGGAGGATGTTGATCCACTTGGAAGAGAGGAGATGTTCGGTTCGGTCGAGACTACTATGAGTAAGTGTGCCTGAGGTTCAAGTCCCCTTCCACTCTTACTGTTTCGGGATGGATGGGGCCAGCACCAATTGGGTTAGGTGTGTTATTTATGGGATGGTATGGGAAGTGTAATATTGGCTCGTTATTAATAGTTGGGCGACTGTCAGGTGACCTGTGGGGGTGGTATAAGGCTGTAAATTTCCATTATTGTGACAGCTCTGACCCAATAATCGGGCATATCCCTGGTTTTAGGGGGTAACATTCCCAGGGGGAGCTGGCTTCCCGTGACCCAAGGCGAGTCGGTAAGGTATTGGGCCTTACCAGCATTGATTTCCAGCTTGGACAGCATCAGCAACTGGCAAAAGTTGAGTTGTCGACAACTAACTAGTCCAACTAATTAGTAGTAGTCACCCAAAGGCAAGGCCAGTTGGTGAAATGACCGCCTCAGCCTCGTACCGCCACATCACCCAGGTTCTTCGGCCAGACGAGAAAGGAGAGTGGATTCAGCCTGTCTGTCCAACTCTCCAGCCACAGTCTCCTGAGGGCATTGCCTGATCACTTGACGGGCGGTGCCGAGGGAAGCCTTCCTGCCTGCCTGCCTGTCTGTTGCTCCCAGGCACTTTGTTTCCCAGGCTCTCTGACTCCCATTCATTCCCCTTCAGGCTCCAGGGCTCAGGCTCAGGCTATCAGCATAGCAACTCTCCTATCAGAATCATCCCCCCAAACCCAATTGAAACACTTACTCATCCCCCATCGTGAGAGTGTCACTAGAATGACGAATCACCTGGTTTGCTGCCTCGTCTTTTTGTCCTTGAATTTCGCCCCTGGCAGGGGCAGTGGATACCACCACCCCCGGGCGAAGTTCGAGGCTTCGACGAGGATTCCAGACATTCGATTTCCTTTTTGCCTGGGGGCCACCCCATGACGTCTGTGTCGCGGACTTCTTTTGGATCGACGATGCTTTCGTAGCATGTAACTAGTATGTAGCCTGTAGCATAGCATGTAGCAGGCCGCTGCAGGCTGGTAATGCAAATGGGGGGGGGGGGAAAGAATGGAAGGCAGCAGAGCCCACCGACTAGTCAGTCCTGCAAGATGATCGATCTGCTTCTCCGTCATGGCTGGCTTAGTGAAGTGTGTGAGTTTACCGTCTAGATCCAAGTCCCTGGGGGGGGAAGCTAAACTGAACGGGATCTGATTCGACTTGATCCTTTTCTGGATTGGAGCATTATTCTGGCTTTGCTTTGCTTTCTATTCTATTTCCGTTTGGATACCGTTATACTTCCCTCGTCCGGGGAAAACATACAAAAGCCTCCTGCCGTCCGTCTGGAAATCGCTTCTTTTCCATCTACCACAGAACTACTAACTACTATTACAACTCTACTATCAACAACATCTTCAACCCAAGACTACTCCTAGTTTCTAACTACTTCTACTCTATCTTCATCTATCCTTCTTCTCTCATCGTCTTCTCTCACCCTCTTCTCTTACACTTCGGATTTTGGCCTCGTACTGAGCCTTGCTCCGCCACCGACTGCCATCCTTATACTTACTATATAAATCTACTTTCCTCTCTGATTCCTACCGTCTACTACCTGAGTCATCTCACCTCCTATCTTCTACCAAACTACCACCACCACTACTACAAAACAATCCACTTAACTCTATCACTTCTCTTTTCATCAAACCATCAACATGCCTCACAAAGTCAACGACTCCAATTCTACCCTGTCCAGTAGTGGCAGCAGCGGTGACCGTGTTGTGGTCTCAGATCTACGAGGTATGTCTTTTCCCCAATCTGCAACTTCAAATCTACTATCTACATCTTGTTGGATCACGGAAGCTAATCCGGCGTCTGTCTCTCCTTAGGGCCCAATGCTGTCCCACGCCGTACACAACCCCCGGTGATTGTCCACAACCGGGGAGGGCAGATCTACGATGAAACGAGACCCTCTGATTGGGACAAGCAACGGTGGAAGTAAACCCATCCTGGTTTCTTCCAACCCTCCAGTCGGGGGGAGTTCCCTTCCGGAAGCGCTGCTGGGCAGTTGCTGGGGACTATTTGTCGCCGGAAGGGCCGATTATCCGCGCGGCTTCGTCCAAAAGTGAGGCGACGGATCGACAGCTGGTCTGGTCAACTATCTTTTCGGCGTCTCTCTCGTTCTCGACCGGCAACCGACGGATGGGATGGCATGCTCTGGACTCTCGTCACCGCCCCCCTGACAATGCTGCATTGCAGCGCTGCTATCCTTTGCTGTCTCTTGTCTGTCTCTCACTCTCTCCGTTGCCGTCGGTTCCCTTGCGAATCGTTGCCCCGGATTCTTGTCTTGCCCTTCCGTCGAGATTACCTTCTGGACTTGATTTCCTTTCCCGATCATTGTACACTATTGTGCCTCTTTTTGTTTTTTTGACGCCCTTTTTCGGATTTCCGACGCCATGCCCTTGTATTATTTGGTTTCTTTTACCCTTTCGGAGATTTCGTGTTCCTGTTGCTCCGTGTCTCCTCACACTGTGACGAGGCACACGTGTTACATCCCTCCATCCATCCATCCACTGGCAAGACTGAGTGAGGACGGACACGAACTCTAACCCGGTTGTGTCTATCTACGCTCGAGACAGCGACGGCATAGTTCCGGGCCAGCCCTTGCTTCTGCCGTCCCTTGTCAGCAGCAACCGCGACACCATCTTCCTATCCCTTTTTTTTTATTATTTCTTCTTTTCTGGCTGTACCATATCGTGCTGATGCTTTTTCTCTGCCCTCCCTTTTCTGCTTTTGTCATTCCGCATAGCGTGGGTTTGATCTTGCAGGACTACCTTTTTTTTTCGGCTCCTGTCCTAATTATGTGCTTCATGTCATATCACGGTCATGTCATGTCATTCCTTCATTCGCTCGTTCGCTCTCTCGTCCGACTTGGACGCGGAGTCATCTGCATCGCCTATACTCAGGCCATGACAGTTGCCGACCGGCCCAGTCTGGGCGGGTGGGCAGGTGCTGCGCTGGTCGCGGGCTACCTGCCTCCTACATACACTCATACTCACACTAACACACACACACACACCCTGATGTATCATCATTATTGCTCGACATGACTGACGCTCTACTGTTACCAATTACTATCCATCTGCTGTTGACTGGTTTGGATTCTTGTTGCCGTTATTTTGATGTCACACATACTATTTCACAGAACTTACTTGGATACATTCTAAGTGAGGTTGTACCAGATAATCTAATTGTCATGATTACTACCACTACAAGTGCATCCATACACAGTAGCTACTATCTCCCATTGACTTTGCACCAACCCGACTAAACCCAATCCATCCCCCACCGCATACCCACTGCATACACAGAAAACGAAAACAGTAAACCAAGAAAGTAACACTGACAACACTGACAACACTTTCTTCCCCGCAATTCCATTGCATTCATTACCCACTTTCTACCCCGTGGCATGATAACCTCCCACATTTGACGTACTGTACTGTACACTTGTCTTGCCCTGGTCCTATTGTTTCTAGTCACATCTCTACAGACACCATACACTCCCCACACTATCGACAATTGACATTTGACATATGCTCCGTGTTAATGTGCTGGCATGTCGTTATCCATACATACATACATACGTACACAGATACACACATACCCACATGCACACACAGATGAACAGAAAGACATATAATCCGAATCTCTCAATTCTCTCCGCATCTGCAGATACCACAGAAAATGACACAGAAGAGCAAAGTCTAGAACTAAATGAATTGCCATGACTAGTAATGGAAGTAATACCAGCCAGCACATCACCTGACCACACGCACTGCACACGACATCGTCCATGCATGATGCTCAGGCAGATAGGCAGACGAGCTACCTACATACTACCTACCTACTTTCACTGGTATTTACCTAACTAGGGAACTTAAGAAGGTAGGTAGGTTGACAGGCAGGTTGACAGGTTACAGTATGTAGACGAGAGTGGTAGTAGTAATAGTAGTGACTGACTACCTGCTATGAAGCACTGCATGCACAGCAGCGGCATCAACGGCCAGCCAAGATCGGAAAGTGACAGACAAGCAAGCAAGCAAGCAAGCAAGCAAACAGACAAACAACATCCACCCTGCCTACATACAGTACAGACAATAGCAAGCAGGCAAGCAAAGCAAACACACATTTCCGTTTCGAATATGCTGCCAAGTTTTCTCATCGTGTCTTAGCATTACATACAACAAAACCGACTACTAACTGAAGAAATACTTCTGTCGCCTCATAGCTTACTTACTATACTAGTCACTTTATTCACTATTGACATATATTTTCTAGAATGTATATCACTTACTACTACCTACCTACCCACTGAAAGATACCATCTGTGTATTTTCTGCAATGCAAGCAGATTATCTATCTATTCACATCTGGAAAGTGAAAAGTATCCCATTGTGGCAGGCAGCTGTAGCCAAGACGGACTGGCCCGAGTCGGGCATGTCGGGCACTCACTCTCGCGCGTGCGTATGCACGATTGATTGATTGAGTGATTGATTCATGGATGGGGTGTACAGGGTATGTGGGATTGTCTAGAGGGTAGTCTATGCATGTAGCTTACTTTGGAAGGGTATGATACTAATAGTAGTGGTATAATCGGGTATGTGTATGTGTATGTGTATGTAGTCGCTCAAGATCTGACTTTCCACGAGATAATAAGAAGAAGGAAAGCAAATGCGAGATTGAACCACCAGGGAAAATAAACTTAAGGAGATGGATCGATCGATCAAGGTATCATCCGAGTGAATGAGAGAAGAGGGAGAAGAAGATAGTAGTAGTAAAGGTAAAATGGAATGGTCAATTTTCATCCACCGGTCCATAATTGTTGTGATGACAGATCCTTCATCTGCATCTGCATCTCTCTCTCCAACTATTAAATAACAAAAATTCATATCTGTTTGGTATTTTCTCATTTGCATTTTCCTCCCCGGACCACACAGATTTTTTTGGTCGGTTTTGACAATGTTCTTTTCTGCTTTTTTTGGGGGACCTCATTCCACCAGGAAGAAAACAGATGCCGTGCTCAGATAAAAACACGGTGCAGGGTCTTGTATGCGACCTGCGTGTATAGAAGGAAACATGGGGTCAGAGGTTAAGCCACATTAATGTTCTTTACGTAGGGGTGTTGTGAAGGGGACAAGGTTGATGAATGTTGTGAAAGGGGTAGATAGGGACAAAAGGGGAGAACTAGAAACGGAAAGTTAAAACGAAACACCCAGCTTGGTCATCGCAATCCACTAAAGGAAGCGCAGGAATGTGTGACGCTACCCATGGGCTGCGATGGAAAACGAAAACATAAATGCAAATGTACTCGAACGGCTCGCGCTTGCAATGCTAGTTGTAGAAGAAGAGAAATAACAAGCTGAATGCAACGGGGGGTAGTCCCGTGAGATGATATGCGGAAGACAAGGAGATGGGGTATGCAATTTTTAGACAAAGAAACAAAGACGGAGATAGAACGAAATTGGTGTCGAAGTAGAACCAGGTCTGTATAGGTTCTGGTTCCAACCAGATCGGCAGTTATGGCACAAGATGCAAAAATACATCGTATTCAGGTATCAAGCAATATGTTGGTATATTATTGATGAGCAGCTTCTTCAACCCTCGTGTCGAGTTCAGTAACCAGTGCTGAATGACATGTTGGGCTGGAGGAACTGTTGTTGGTACGTGGTGTCCTGCGAATACGTGTGAGAGCTCACGTACTGCATACTGGGCGGAGGTGTCGGCGATGGCGAGCAAGCACTAGCTCCTGCTGTGCCTTTGGCAAAGGTGGGATTACCACCATTGGCAAAAGCCTCGTTCTCCGGCGTGATTGGCGGTGTGATATAACCGTGCGCCATGGCCGATGATTGGGTCGCCTTCTGCGGTGTAGCAAGCCCAATCTCGCCTTCGTATGGCTTGGGCTCGGGTTGGACAACGTCCGTTTGCGGGCTGGGGGGCGTGTAGCTTGCGATCGAAGCTTGACGGGCAAGGAATTGTTCCAGCACCTTGGACACACGGGAGTAGTGAGCCGAGGAATACTTCCTGGAAAGTACCTGGGAGGGTTGGTGAAGCTGCTGCGACAAACCCACGAGCGTCATCGAGTCGTACTGGGACGCCCATTCTGTGTGACGAGGCTGAGTCCGGTTGAGGATGCAGCGCGCCAGAGCCAACGAGGCCCGGGCGAGATCCGACGATGGCTTGGACACGAATTCCCGATGGAACAGCGAGATCTCCGAGATGTACAATGCTAGATGCTCGACCTCGGCATCATACGGGCAATCCATCACGGCCATCTGCAAGAAGCTATCGACAGTCGGGTGTCCAATGGTCCACCCCAGTGTTTGCAGCACATGCCACTCCATTTGGATGAACATGTCGTCGTCGTATAGCGAGCAGCACATGGACTTGAGTTCCTTGATGGTAGGCACGCGGTCCTTCTTGTCGCCATACTTGGCTGCGATGAGCAAGGCAGCACATCCAACGAGTTGATAGTGTCTCTTGTAAACAACACGCTTGGAGCAGTAACGGTCAAGAAGGTTGATGGTGAGGAAGAGGGTCGATGGCAAGAGCTGGAATGCTGTGTGGGCTTCAATCAAGAAGTCGAGCAGGTATGGACGCATGAACCACTGAATCTCAGTCTGGATATCGATTGACTCGACGTCCGGAAGGGTGGCAGCATCCATGTCCAGCATGTGCGCCAGAACGTCATCACGGAATTCCTCGCTGGTAATCTTTGACAGCTGTTCCGCCATGGCGTACTGACGCTCGCGAGCCATCAACTTGGCGTGTTCTTTCGGATCCATACGGGGGGCAGGGAACTCGTCGTAGGACTCGACGAAGAAAGTATCGCAGGGCTGGTAGCTCGATGTGGGGCGCTTGTGGTAGGCCATGATGTCGGTCTGGTAATAACGTCGACCCAAAGAGTATTCAAAGAGTGGACCTGATAACTGTGTCGATCAGGAAACGACGGAGGTGAGAGAGTGACAGTCGTCGGATTAGGGGATTAATGAGTGGAATTAGTTGGGAAATATTAAAGTCAAAGGCCACAAGAGACGATAGCCTGGTATTGAAAAGGGGGAAGGATGGGTAGACAGCTGGAGCGGAGCCTTGTGATGGCCGGAGCTAAAGGAAGGTAAAATTATTAGTAAAACGTAATATTAAAATTAGAAGATTAAGGAAATTGGTAAACGAGTGTGAAGTGCCAAAGGATGGTAATGTAGATATAGAGGTGAAGGGAAGGATTGAAAGGTGAGAAAGGAAGGCCCAAAGATCGAGGGCGGAAAAGGGGATTCCCTGGGGATAAAGTATACTAACCCAGATTGAAAGCCTTCGGGCAGAGGGCACGATGCAACCCTTACCGTGACGGCGTGTCTGGCATCTAGGCTGGCTAGGAACAGGCAGGAATGATCCGTTGAGATGGTACTCTGTAGGATACCAGTCCGAAAGACGAAGCACGAGTAAACGCCTTCGCCCTAGGAACCGATGCTTGAACTGGCAAGCCTGGGTGTGCTCCGGAATGTGGAAACAGGAGCACAGGCACGAACCCTATGAAGGGGTGGGGAAATCGTCAGGGGGGGGGAAAGGATTAAAGTGCAAAGAAAAGAATGACCACCACATACAGTTTGCAATCCAGTGTCTTTCGAACGTCCCTGTACAGGACTGGAATGGTGTTGCGACAGGGGATAAGCGCTTAGAGAGCCAAAATCCACATTAAAGGGAGGGAGGCTAAATCGAGGCCAAATTGAGAAATTAATCAAGAAAAACCTGTCTGTTGAAGGAGCAAAAAAAAAGGTTAGCCATCATCATCTAACCATCACTCATCTTTCCTTCAATCGCCAATTGTGACTAAAAGGTAAAAGCTTCTTGGTGGTCTGCCAATGTATGAGGGCCCGGGTCGACCCCGTCAAATATGCACGAGCCGTGCTACGCATTCTTTCTTCAGGGCACATGAGGATCTCCTCCTTCCGATCCACCTCGTTGCTTAAGATAAGGACGATCCTCTCCCTCTGGCAACATGTACTGTCGAATGGAGACAGGCCAAGGCGGAGGGAGAGGACATCCGACCTGCAACATCTGCATTCCCTGCCCACACCCAACTCAATGAGCCATTGTCCATAACCCCCGACCTATACGCAGCCACTGTCCGAATATCCTTTATCCAGCACTTCCATTGTGACAATGCCGACGTATAATTGCGGTCATCTCAGACTTCAGGTTTCCACGCCTCGAAGGAAATGTGGCAGGTCTCGGAGTTCGAAATAAGGAATTGCTGACTTCATTCGAATTGGGCTCATGGGGAACTCGCTCAGCTGGCAGAAAGCTTCACTGGCATCCACTGACATCGGTGCCAGGCAGGTCGAACTATCATCCAGAGTGTCTTCCACTTCCACCCATTCACCCACCCACCCACCACTCAAACCCCGACCATCCAAGCAGGGGGAAAAAGGGGGGGTTGAAGGACAAAGAAAAAAGTGTTCTCACCTCCCAAAGGATCACAACCAAGATATAGAAATGTACAGAAAGCGTTTGAAAAAAAAAGAACCCTTCTCTTTCGCTCTTCTAACCGGCAGGAGCTGAAGTCAGGGGAGTCTATCCGTCGATGTCACAGATAGGGCACCGGTAGTCGGATATAGGGGGAATTCGCCGTTTGAGTTAACAAACGTCGAAAGGGGAGGACGTCGAAGCGAGAGCTGACGGACACGGCTCGACTGGAGAGCTGGTGCAACTGGCTGAAGAAGTGGTCGACTGTTATAGGACAGTCAACGGTCTTTTCTGCCTCGTAGACCAGTCTCAGTTCTCTCCTAAGGAATTGGCGGGTGGTAAGGAAAGGGGGAGGAGGGGAAGAGAAGGAAGGGAGAGGAGGTGAAGATAAGAAGAATGAGGAGGAGAGGAAAGTGAGGAGGAGCTGCTCTCTCTCCAGACGGGTGTAGTAGAAAGAAGAGAAAAAGAGGATTAAAGAGATGGGACGAGGGCCGGAGATAGAAGTCTCGAGAGGATCGCTGCAGGTTAGCTCGCCCACGCTGTATCGTAACCCATGACGCTTTTCCCGTATGAATGGTGGTATTGGGTATCGCGTACCGAGGCTGGAAGGTAAGCGTATGGTTTTGTTTTAGTTTCATCTCGGTTTCCAACGGTATCTGACCAACCAAAATGGGCGGTTGGCTGGCTGGTGTCTCTTCTTTCTTTTACTTCCACCTCCATACGTTTGATCTTTAGGCCTACAGATCCATCAAACTCGTGTTCAAAGGTACGGATAAGATGCTTGTGAAACATGCTAAAAAGGTCTACAACTCAAGCATGTCCTCCATGGCCAAAAATACCATCTACTTGTGTTGTGGAACAAGCGGAAGCGCATGAGGAAAGCCGGGGCGCTTTGGTGTATCTTACTTACTGGAAGATACCAGGAGAATGGGTAGAAACTGAGCCCTCACAGACCAAAATCACATCGAGCAATAGACAACTCCTTTTGCAGAACCTCGCATCGGATACACCCTCAACCTAACGCGGCCTGAGCCCCGGAGGAGCGGCCCTTACTGTGAAAAGGGAAAGTCTATTACCCTAGAGGTACATACATACAGGCAAGTACGTAAGGGTATGGATGCGGTACAGCGGTAGAGACGGGAGATACTGGGAGGTACTGGGCTGGGGCGGGTACCTACTAGTAGGAGTTTAGTATACCACCGTATAGTTACGGTCGGCCGTATGCCTTCGTCCTTTGGTTACCTATTCATTCTTTCTTCATTTGGGACCAACTTTCATCCAGGAGGGGCACAGGCATCATCACTTCTTCTCATACCTTTCAACATTATCCACTACTTTTTTGTTCTCTCCAGGTGGTAGATCCCCTCTCAAACCAGGGAATCGATAAGTCTGGAGAGAGAGGGGTTTTTTTTTCTTTTGACGTTGCAAGTTGCAATGCTAGCTGGAGATTGACTTTCTTTGCTTCCGGGCTGTACCAGACGACTGGTCTCGGTTCACCCGTAGGGGAGACACCTGTTTTTCGATGGCGGCCTCTCGACCCTCTAAACCTGCAAAGTCCCAGCACCAGCGCTCCTTCGGTGGGCTTCGGGGTGGGGTGATCTCCCTCGTCACCGGCCAGTCCTCACCAGCCATTGCCTCCCTGATTCAGGCCAGGAACACCTCCGGTCCTTGGCTCTGTGACCTTTCTTTTTCTTTCTCTTCTCCTCTGGTCTCTCTGGGTCCTTAGGATGCGACAGAGTAGCGTACCGTGTATGTATCTTTATTGGAGCTGCGATTCTCTCTTGCATTAGGCCTTTCCCTGCTACTCCGTAACTAAACTCACACTACCTATCTAGTTAGGGTGAACAGTGTGTCAGTTGCGCTCTAGTCAATTAGTTAGTTAGTCTGTAGACAAACCGACTTCAATTGTGGGCTGCGGTCTGCTGCAATGTGACGATTAACTAAACTAGTACGGAGAGCCTACCAAACTCGTCGTTATCAAGGAATTTTAATCTATCTGTCGTAGTTGAAATAATAATATGTGATCCCTAATGCGACAATGCTGGACATATTCTCTCCATGGACACAATTGACCCTCCCATTTCACTGAAACCCTCGATCTATCCATCCTATCCTCTTAACTCGTCAGGTCGACTAGGGTCGGGCAACTTTACCTATCCTTCAGCATATCATAAGGACGAAACGCTATTTGACGACTCGCTCGGATTACCCACAAATGCGGAGTAGCCGACTGGGACTTTTTTTTTTTCAGCTGGTGACTGCCCGTAATCATGCTCGATCGAATGGTTCGCATTTATTTTACTTTGGTAGGTAGTTGTACGTAAGTAAGTATAGTAACTAAAGTATGTAAGTTGTCTTCATACATACAGTAAGTAAGTATTAGAAAACCAGAACTCACATCCCCGTACCTTACTACTACATAATAAGTAGTATCTAGTTAGTTCCATAGTAGTGGGAGAGAGCGGTCGCGTCTTTCTCTCTCTCCCTTCCTATAGCCGTCATCGACTGCTGACTGGCCCGACCCGCACTGGGCTACGGTACATCGCGTATCCTTCTGCGACCATTCACAACCAGTCGCTACCATGATTGCTCTTACGCCCCTCGTCTGAGGCTTGTTGTTGTACAGCTCGTGATCCATCGACTTTGGCCTCTCCCCCGAACGAAAAAAGACCCTCCTCGTAGTCCGCTGGTCTCTTTGTTTCGCACACAACAAGGGTTTTTCGCTCTTCGCCTCGAACCAAAATCAGACGAGAGGTTATGCTGTTGGATCATATGCAAGATGATCCGCGGGAGAGGGGTAGCCAGAGCCCAGGCCCACGGTACGCAGTTCAACTTGACTCTACTGTTTCAATTCGCCTTTTTTCAGAGCTCTTTGACTGAACCGGACACACATTTGCTTCGTACTGCATCTTGTAGTGTTGCCCGATTCACACATATCGCTGAACACAAAAGAAACGGTGAGAGAAATTGGATGAGGCCTGCCGTAGTGTGTATCTATCCGGGTACTACACGGTCTCTGCGCAGTAAGGCAACCTTCAGTATTACAGTAGGAAGATGGCCATATACCGATGTTCATCACCCGTTAATATTGGCGATTCCGATTCCCCAGCATAGAGAACACATTATTACTTTACTAGACACTGGGATGCCATTGATGCAGTGCAGCTGCACTGGCGTGACCATACCGACGAACGCTTTTCTTTGAGTTCCTGTGACGCAGGTATCCTTGCGGGGGTGACCTCCCGCAACTTACTGTTCACCCAATGGCTCGGAGTAGGCGGTTCGCGGATCTAAGATGGTGTCATGAATGCTACGTATAGAATCACGACGATTGATAAAGAACGCGATTTGGTGCGAATTCTACGGAGAGCAGAATTGACCCGTGGACATTGCACATGTGGTCGAACCGGCTATCAATGACATGCAACCTCGTACCTGTCGAAATCTAACAGAGAGGTAACGGGACGTAACCCTGAATGCGTACCTTTCAATTATCTACACCGATAAAGAATGCAAATATGCTAATTGAAGATATTGTGGTATCGATTTATGAGCTACTCAAGGTTTGACCTGTGACTGAGAAGTAAAGATATGACCCATGGTAGAATTTCAAGGGAGTAAGGGAAGTCTAAATCACAAGGCTGGCTGAAAAGTCTTCAACGGCCAAAAAGCTAGTTTCATGAAAGAGTGAAGCATCACGAAGCTCTGCCGAGCTTTGTTGAAAATTCAAGGTTGAGGTGGTGGCTAGAACGCTCTCGATACTCGGCGCAGGGATAGCTTCTAATCCCGAGCCTCGAATTCCCGTATCCTCCTACAAACCCTGGTCCTCCAAAGCCATGCCTATTCAGAGGACGGGAGTGGCTGAGACGGGCTGACATTGTCACTTGTCATTTGTCCGTTCTCCACCGAGCTTTATGTGTCTTGCATCTGGTCTTGGTGTATAATTGAGGTGGCTAACTCTGGTCACAATCGCAGGCTGTCCTTGCTTCAGACTGATCTCTTCCAATCTTTAACTCTTACCCTAGTAGGTCATGCTGCCCATTCCGGAATGCACGCGCTCTGGTCCTGTGGACAAGATACGATGCATCCAGGTGTTTTCTTATCATGATGAATGCTGGATAGGGAACATTCTCACTATGCCGGGAGAAAGGAGCAGCCTGCGGGACCGGGGGATCTGGCGAAGATACTTCCTTCATTCATCCATTATTACATGACCAAACCATTCAAATCTAGTCGCTCTCGTCAGCACATTCAATCGTGATGAACAATAAGGGGTAAAAGGGGCACTTTAGTGCGGACAAGGATGTTTGCTTCATTGCCTCCAGGCGCCAAGCTGCCAGCCGATCGCGATTAGTAGATTACCCTCTATAGCACTCGTGTAATGAATGTCTAGCTTGTACATGACTTGTGGCGAGCGATCGAAGTGAGGCTTAGCTATCTGAACATGTTCTTTGCAGATCGTGGACTCAATACATTCTGTAAGGAATCATCAATTGGTAAGAAGTGCACAGAATCTCGGTAACTATCAAGTTGCCTAGGTAATAGCAACTGACCGGGCAGATTTCGACCATTGGGATCTTTTCTATTCCACTACAAAACCACCAAATATAAGTGAGGCTTACATTATTGGTACTTATTCGCTTCAGGGACCCTTATGAGGCTTCTGGAGTAATGCACGGTAGCCGCTGGAGCCTATCCGCCTTCTTCCCGTCCACTACATCCGCTTACCATCCCCCATCCCGCCGGGAGTATGGAAACAAGACCTTAGCTGGAGGAACAATTTATCTCCTCCTTCAATGTATGGACAATCGCCGCATGGGGTACATGTATAATGATACTATGGAGATATCATCATGCATGTAGAGATGATCCAGAATGCGTTGCTTTCGTAACCCCATCCTTAACTAAAGTGGCTAGCTACCTAACTATTCTAAGCGTCCTCCCGGCGACGTATCAATAGACATCTCCTTGCTGGGTACCTGCAGACTCCAATTCGATACATTCTACTCCAATCAACGAATCCTTGTTTAACCTGCAGACAAGTAACCGTCCTTGCACTGATATTATGCATTCCTCTGGATGGAATACGTACATGATCATAATTTCTCCCCAGGCCAACCATGAGTTCCATACGTTCGATGATTGGTCGCGTGTAACATCCCGTAACTACTAACTATTTCGCCCCCCCCATGCAAGGGCCATTCTGACGGAATATCCTCAGTGCATATCATTATTTCCTGTAGTATCTAGATAGCCCCAGAAGGGCCGAGATTCCTTATTCTTCCATTTCCATCATACGTATCACTCTAGAATACGAACTAGTTCGTGCACTATATGACTCGGAGAATTCCACATCTTTTTTCTTGATACAATCACCGCTCCACACTAGGGCCATAGCAAAGAGGATGGATACCCTGATATATCGGTGAGCCTTCACATATCAACGTCCATGACTTAGTCTCATTCCTGCTAACGCTCAACGGGGTAAAAAATTGAAGGCCATCTATTCACTAGTCCCTATTCATCCCATCGTAGACTAGAAAGGTGTCATACAATCCTTTCCAATACACTGACTGGCCTTTCTATCTCATTCCACGCTGCTTCCTTAGTTTCCTGTACCATATAAACACACCGCATTCGGGACCCGAAATTACTTACAACCCACTGCGGATCTTGGAAGTAGACGAAAGAAAAGTCGTCAAAGAATTTCCTGGAATTCTCAATTGTGTAAGAGGCACACACGGGCGGGTAAATCAGCAACCCCTTCACTTATTTGAACCCATATCCTTTGCGAAGGACAATCAAGGGCCAGTAAATCAAAGCTGTCACCGACTCGCCCAGTTCACCGCCCAGCCATATAAAACGGACCATTCCACTACTACTTACTACTACTTACTAACTTAGCGGGCGTTTTCTCAACCAGAAAAAACGAGGCGGTTTCCCAAGGCCCCGCAGTTCCGACCTTTTGGTCCACACTTAGAAACCGGCTTACGATATTTGGAGCGCTAGCCCATACGCACAAAATGGCGGTAGCCGGGAGGCAACGGGTACAGTATGCAAAAACGAAGTTCGACTTGCCCATCTAACGGATGAGGGTACTAGATGGGTGTGGGCCAAAGTGGGCAGACAAGCAGAAATTTTTTTTCTCTCCTAGAAAGAAACGGTCGGAGGAAGCCCAAATTCGTCAAAGAAAATTCGAAGTACAGTAAGTAGTGTTTTTCTTTGGGTCGTGATGGACCGAATGTTAGAGAGGGGAAATATTCTAGAAGATTTGGTGAGTTGATGAAAGGAAATTCGTTTTTTTGTATAGACACAAAAGTACGTACCAGCAACCAATATTCTACATCACATTGGTAAGTAGTATTTGCTCCATCTTCCCTCGGTATATTGCATGTTCAATCCCGAATTGATCGTCGCATTTTCTGCAGTATTTTGATAGTAGTTGTGGTAGTGGCTCAACAAGTCAACAATTTTTGATTCTGATCAGACCATCTTTGGGTAGGTCAGAAGTTTCTTTATACTACTGTATGTTCTTCGAATTATGCTACGTGTATCACTTTTTTGGTACTCTACCTATCTTCATGTTCGGTGTATTCGTCAACTTTCATCGGCTTCGAATTTTGCCTTTCTCT